ATTAATCAGTTGTTTGTTTTATGAAGTCTGCCTGTACTTTTCTTCACTTCCATTTATTTATTTATTTATTTATTTATTTATCTTTTTATTTATTTAGGCATTTACACTATGTTTAATTGTTTTTTATGAAGTCTAATCTAAACTGCCTGTACTTTTGTTCACTTTATTTTATTTATTTATTTATTTGAGTATTGCTGATTGTTTGCATTCTCTTTTACTTGATTTTATTTTTCTCATATTTTGTCTGTTTCTATTGTTTTGATCAATCAGTTTTAAATATTCTACAAAAGTTTTGTTCAGTTTCAGTTGTTGTATGTACTGTCTTTTTGTTTGTTTGTCGCATTTTACCCTGCTGATGCCGTATTTTATCTTTTCCATGTTTTGTTGTTGTTGTTGTTTTGTTTTTTAGTTGTTGTTTTTTTTAAAACCTTTGTCTGTTAAGCACTTTGAATAACCTCTGTATTGAATGCCAAGTATCATAATTGTATATTTACTTTTTACTCTGTTGGTTTATTATGTTATCATATGACTTTATTGAGTTACATCTCAGGTAACTCGTCTGTTCTGTTAAACACATCAGTACGTCACCGACCTGCCGGCGCACAGTGATGACGCGTCATAAGCCGCGACGCGCTTGTTATTTTTCGCGTTGGCTTCACTTGGCTGCTTGGCGCTAAGAGCAAACCTCACTTTACTGCTTCGACAAAATGTCTCTCCTCGACGAAGATGCCTCGGACGTGGGACTGCCGGGTCAATCAAAGTTGGAGAGCTTCCTGTTCAGTAAGAACGTTTTAAACAGTCTGCTGCTCTGTCGGCGCACACGTGGGTTTCTGCTGTGATGATCCCACTGGGGGAAAAAAAATTGCCTCGATATTCAAAAAGCAACAGCACATTAAATCCTGGCCTTTGGTGTTTTTTTATTTTCCAGGCTGTGAGCTGTCCTCTAAAGTACCTTTCTACACTTTCCAAGGAGATGACGAGGAGGACCTGGAGCACTTCCTTGAGCTCAGAACAGTATGTACAGTTGATCATCACCACATTACCAGGAGGCTGAAAGCGTGCACTCCACCTGGTCCATGCTGGCAGATTTTACAGCCTGTATCTGCCTTACTAGTATCCATGAACCACAGTTCTGTGTCCACTGTGGTGATGTTACAACTAAAGAATGCACTGTTTTACTTATACTTTGATCCGACTGGATAAAATGAATGTGGATTTTTTTTTTTTTTTTGCAGGTTTGTCTCGGAGAAGGTGCCAAAGAGGAGAGCAACGTGGTGGAGGTTACAGCCATGAACCACCAAGGAAAGACTATTTCAGTGCCAGTTGCCAACCTTCACATCAAGTGTCTGCCCATGGTGCGTTTAGTATAATGTACTTAGTCAACTTTATGAGCAGCCTGATGGGAAGTTTGGTATTTTAAACCGTCACTCTTCTGTCCTCAGGTGAGTCTGGGAGAGTTTGAGCTGAAAGCCCCGGTGACCATCCGGCTCAAGGCTGGAACAGGACCAGTTACTGTCAGCGGGCTGCACCTTATTGGTAACCATTGACTTTGTTTCCTCTCCTCACTTTCACGTTCTCTGAAATCAGGTGGAACAAATTTGTGCATAGGTCAGCAAACAGGCAAAGTGAGATGAGAAGATATCAGCATATTGGTTCTTGGAAAAAGTCCAATATGTGTCAGTCCAAAAACACTTTTGAGTTTTACTTTACCCTTTTATTTTGCTTTTTAACTGGATTCCTTTGTTGGACTGTTAGTTTCAGATTATTTGTTGGACTAAACAAACAATTTAAATCAGTGAACATAACAGTTAGCTGCAGCTCTACTGAAAAAAAGCATGCAATTAGTATACAGCTGTTGTGTTGCCTATAACTGTGGTCAACAATAAGAAGAGTCCACAAACTTTGTTCATAGTAAAGCAGCTGAAGTCCCACAGTGCTCTCCTATGTGACATTAAAATAGCTGTGCTTTCTTTAGGCGCTTTCTTTTGTTTTTCACTCATCTATATTAAAGGTTAAATGTACCCTTTCACTTTTTAAAAAAAATTGAACAGACTTATTTCAAGCAAGAGTGAAACATAAATTTAGCGATTTCACACAATTAGAATCAGAGACTCTTTCCCTCTCCCCACTGGTTGTAGTGGGTGTGTGCAGGAGGTCAACTCAGAGGGCAAATAAAACAGCCTTACTGGTCTTACAATAAAATGTACAGTTCAGATTGAAGGTATTTAGACGGCGAAACATTTTTTTGTTCTTTCAATATAAAGAAATGTCACAGATACAACGTTCACCCTCTCAACTACAACCAGTTTCTGGGCATTTTTGGCTTCTGTCTAATGGGCTCATTTTTTTCTTGCTTTTTGGGTTTTTGCCCTTTTTTGGAGGCGGCCCACCCTGGGCAGGAGTTGGAAGGGGTTCCCCGTTTTTTCTTTTGCGGTTTAGGTTCCTTTTGTTCCCCCATTTGTTAAAGGCAGGAAAAAAATGTTTCTTTGATTATTTGTTTCACAAAACTAGAGAAAGCCTGGAGTGAACATGTACAACAGGTTTCCCACAGTGCCAACAAGTGTGACTAATACTGGAAAATAAATGATACCACTACATAATATGCATACTTTACTACTTACATTTTAAATTTCTTTCTGTGCCTGCTCCTGTCTGTTCTGTGTGCACACAGCCTGCAGTTCAGCCCAGTTCATCCAAAAAATCCCTCAAGTTTTGTTATGACTGTTTGTTGCAACTGAGACTTCCCAGTTGGATTTTTTTTTTGTTTTGAATCTGGTCAGAGCAGAAGCATTATTTCAGGGGAATTTTTAAATAAGACTCTTGCATAAAAAGATTTTGATTAAAGCTTAGATTTGGTGAAGTTATCGGATGGAGAGGCTCGTTACAGATAAGGAATTATAGAAATAGAGTTTGAACAGTTTCTGATAAATGGTGTAATTTTGGCAATTTATTATTATTATTTACAGATAACATGCCTTTCAAACCCACTGGCAGGTTTTTAGGTTTTGAGGAAGTCTCAGCTTTAATTTCAGTATTGTCCAAATACTAACAGTCTGGACTATAATACCAGCTTGCAGTTGGGCACCATGTTTTAATGTCTTCTTCTGATCTCGTCAGCCTCACAGGTTGAAGACTCCGACCTGTCTGAGGATGACGAAGACGAGGAGGACGAGGAAGAAGAGGAGGAAGAGATGCCTGCCATTAAACCAGCAAAAAAAAAGCAGAAGCAGTAGGCGGAGAGGTCACTGATGGATTTTTCCAACGGCTTACTCGCTGACGTTCTAAGAAGTAACAATTTTTTTGTATCAGACGGACAAATTTTCCAAAGTTAGGACTTCTTCTTCCACACAGCCTCATGAATGCTTCGTGTGGTGGCAGCTAAACATGCCGCTGGAGGAATCATGACGGGCTCTGATGTTCTCGCAGCTCCACTCCTCAGTCTCTCACTGCGAGTTCTTGGTTACAGCAGTGTACAGAAGTGTGGATTGGACATTCGTTTGTAGAAGAACTGTTTTTGCTATCAAATGCTGCCCACTGTTTTATACTGTATATAATACAGCCACCTCTGAAATGGTTTTATTGCACCAGTGGAGGGGAAACATGTCTTCTACCAGCAGTGGATCCTTAAAATAGGTTAAATATACTGTTCTTCTCAAAGTAAAAACATTGTATGTGTACTTGTCAAGGTAGGAAATTCTGATTCAAACTAAATAGTCCAATGAGATGATATACATACAGTTTATTAAATGCTCCTGGTTCATTAGAGTTTGTTTTTGCAAAATGCTGTTTTTCTATGTGACGTTTCAATCATAAATGTGAAGATTTTTACTAAGAGTGAATGCATCAAGAAAACCTTTTTGAGTTTTCAATTCGCTTTTCAGCTCATATAAATAAAGCAGTAATTTTCAGCAGAGTATTTAAAATGTACGAAGTTCGTGTACCGACGCGGTCACTTAAGTTTAGTGCCTTCTTTGAAACAAAATGGCACACGTTTTTATATATATATATATATATATATATTTGTCACAGTCCAAATTAAAATTAAATCTGCCTAGGCACGATTAAAAATTTGATTTCGCCTAGACCAAATTAAAATCCTTCTTATATCATAATGAGATTGTAATCCTGCCTGGGCAAATTTTAATTTGGACTGTGACAAATATGTAGTGAGATGTGGCACATTGTAAAATGTTAATCTGATATAATCTCCACACTTCACCATGTGTGTGAACTTCACATTCTTTAATGCTGTGTCCATCAAAGGGTCACACTAACATTTTCATTCACAGACGTATGAAGAGGTGTGATACATCTTTTGTCATGTTTAACAGTCGCACAAGGCTGGTACAAATGCTACATATATATGAATGATTTTAATTTGGTCTAGCTGAAATCAAATTTATAATTCTGATTTAATTCAGATTTTTAGTTTAGTGTGGTCAAATTTTCAACCTGCCTAGACAGGCTTACAATCTCTATTTGTTATAAGGATGATTTCAATTTGGTCTACATGAAATCAAAACTTTAATTCTGCTGAGGCAGTTTTAAAATCTACCCAGGCAGGATTACAATCTCATCATGATATTAGAAGGATTTTAATTTGGTTTAGGCAAAATCAAAATTTTAGTTCTGCCCAGGCAGATTTAAAATCTGCCTGGATTTTAATTTGTACTCTGACATATATATAATTTAGGAGAAATCCAGCATTGTGCTGAAGTCAGTTTTAATCTATTTCTCACCACATTACTATTATTAAAGCCCTTGAAAACTTATNTGCATCAAGAAAACCTTTTTGAGTTTTCAATTCGCTTTTCAGCTCATATAAATAAAGCAGTAATTTTCAGCAGAGTATTTAAAATGTACGAAGTTTGTGTACCTACGGGGTCACTTAAGTTTAGTGCATTCTTTGAAACACAATGGCACACGTTTTTATATATATATATATATATATATATATATATATATATATTTGTCACAGTCCAAATTAAAATTAAATCTGCCTAGGCACGATTAAAATTTTGATTTGGTCTAGGCAGATTTTAAATCTGCCTAGACCAAATCAGGCAGACTAAAAATTGGATTTCGCCTAGACCAAATTAAAATCCCTCTTATATCATAATGAGATTGTAATCCTGCCTGGGCAAATTTTAATTTGGACTGTGACAAATATATAGTGAGGTGTGGCACACTGTAAGGTGTTAATCTGATATAATCTCCACACTTCACCATGTGTGTGAATTTAACAGTCTTTAATGCTGTGTCCATCAAAGGGTTTGGGGTTTTCATTCACAGACGTATGAAGAGGTGTGATACATGTTTTGCAATGTTTAACAGTCGCACAAGGCTGGTACAAATGCTACATATATATGAATGATTTTAATTTGGTCTAGGTGAAATCAAATTTATAATTCTGATTTAATTCAGATTTTTAATTTAGTGTGGTCAAATTTTAAACCTGCCTAGGCAGGCTTACAATCTCAATTTGTTATAAGGATGATTTCAATTTGGTCTAGATGAAATCAAAATTTTAATTCTGCCGAAGCAGATTTAAAATTTACCCAGGCAGGATTCCAATCTCATTATGATATTAGAAGGATTTAAATTTGGTCTAGGCAAAATCTAAATTTTAGTTGTGCCCAGGCAGATTTTAAATCTGCCTGGATTTTAATTTGTACTGTGACATATATATATAATTTAGGAGAAATCCAGCATTGTGCTGAAGTCAGTTTTAATCTATTTCTCACCACATTACTATTATTAAAGCCCTTGAAAACTTATTTCAATTTCAAAGTGTTTAACATAAATTAAATAAAGACTATATCTCCAAAACCGAAGACATAAGCAAATTTCTTACATTAAAAACAAACAAAAAAAAAAACATCCTGACTTGTGCAGAAAACTGAGTTGCTAAGCTGAATTCAGTACAAAGCAACCCGAGATGCTACAAAACAACAGACCCGCGAGCTAAAAGCTAGACAAGTGAATGAACTGATATCTCCAGTAAATTTAGCTGCTCTCTGGAGTTAACTGTTGCTGTGTGAAATTATTATCTGTGCTGACAGTAAACCACCAGTAATGGATAACTAAGAGTGGCTGAAGGGTGACCGTAAATATTGATACCAGGTAAAGCTTTATGAGGGCAGATGTGATCGTATCAAGTTACATTCTGAATCATACACGCTGCTGTGCCATCTGCACTGTAACAACATCCTCACATGATGTTTGCAGGGCAGCTGTAGGTTCTGTCTAACCAGATCTGCTGCTGATTGTCAGAGCCACTTCACTAAGTCTCAGTGCTCCTTGCAGAGACAGATGGTAATTGTCATGCTGAGATCCAATGGCGTTCTGAAGCCACAGAGAGCTCCTTCATCATGTACATTATAGGGTACATGTAAGTGTTGCTTTAAAGTACTTTACAGTATAATACTCTCGGGGATAATTGTCAGTTAAACCACAGTTCAATCAAAAGTTGTTCATCAGCTGCCGTTGTACACGTAATTTCTGTAAGAATAACAAGCAGGCACCATGAACTGGAAGAAATTTATTCATTTAAACTTTATTCAAACTCATTGTACATTGAGGTGTAGAGGCTTCATTTATAATGTAGCCGAGTTAGAAAATAAAAAATGTAGGGACACAAAAAAGCCCAGATAACACTGAACTATAAAAAGGCTAACTTAGTACAATAGCAAAAACATTAATCAGAGCATTTAAAATGTTGGAATCAGCTAAAACAAGAGCAGCTAAATGTAAAATAAGCTGAAATTTAACAACCTGAATTGCTACGGGAATCAAAATGAGTCCAGCTTTAGATTGTTCTACATGTTAGTCCAGGCTGTAGCCGCACAGTGAGTGTAACTGGATTTTCCAATTTCAGTAAAAAAGACAATAGTTAAGTAATGTACAGAGGTTTAAAAATATTAAAAATAGTTTGGGCTTTGTAAATATACAAAACTATTTGTGTGTTGTGCCTTACAGAGAGTGAGGGTCACCCAGCTTGAGTACACAGCTCATAGTGATGAGTACTGTAGGTTTCACTAGAAATACATGTTGGTGCAGAGGGATAAACAGTGAAACAGGTGAAAACAAAGAAACGAGAATCCACATTAAACACAACACAACCTTTCCCAGCAGACAACACTGGCCTCTGTCCACTTCAACACTACAACTATCACCACTTAGAGATGTGCACGGAGAAAAGCCATCCTCTTACGCATCAAGTATAAAGAAATGCTTCCTGTTTATCCAACAATATAATCCACTGATGCAAAATGCATTCAAATCCTCTTAAATACATTTGCTTGTATAGATTCAGAGTTTAAATCTGCACAGTGACGTGCAGAATGCAGCAGCAGGACGGAAGAAGTTGAGGGAGAGAATGCTAACAAGCAACACCGCTGAGCACCAGATGTCAAAAAGAGGGTAACACTACCACGACTTTTGTCCTTACAGCTTAGTCATGCCAGGTGCTGCCATGGCAACATGAGAAATGACCACCTGTGCAGTGCCCTTGATGGCAGCTTTCTGTTAACAACAGAACAACAACACCATCTCTCTCCCTTAAGTCAGCGAGGGGAGGGTGATAGGACATGACATCCCATCATCTGTTCGCTGATTCTGATGCCGTTTTCACAGACTGTGAGAGTATCTCTGCTCTTTTTGAGAGTAACGTGAGGCAGATTCATTGAATTACACCGCAGCCCAGAGTGACGATCCTCGTGAGGTCATGTGGCAGATAGCAAATCAATGTGTAACAATCCTCCAACTAGTTAATGTCACCTTCACTGCGAGCAGGTGCTGCTGCTTCTTATTTTCTGACTCATAAACCACATCCAACTGGTATACGCTGAGTGGGAGTTTTGTGAACCTTTACGGCACTTTTATTGGGTGTAGGGATTTTATAGTCCAGCGTCTGTGTGCTGCGTTAAGTCCTCACCTTCATGTCGAGGTTACATCTGTGTCCAGGGCTAAATTTCTGTCTGCAGTACAAGAAACAAAAATATGCTGATTAACACAGAAAAGCATGTTAAAGTGCTTCTGAAAATGAGGCATCACTTACCATCAAATAAAATACTATATGTGAAACTCCATGGACATTTGTGGAACATTGGAAGTAGTTTATTTTTTCATATCTTGCTTTGAATGATTAAGTAAGACACAATGATTTGTATACATACACCTTAAACACTCAGGTGTATGCATTTATTTGGATTTATTTCCTATATTTTCTGTCAGATCCGTTTTTACTGGTTCCAAAAAAGAGAACGCAATCATCAGTTTCCTTCTAGTTAAGCTCACATGACCTTTTTACAGCTCTAAAAAAAAACATAAACTCCCTCAATTCCCCCATTGTTCGTAAAACATTATACAAGTCTATTAATTTTATGACTCAAATGTAATGTTAACTTCCTCTTTTCTATACTTCTCTCACTGACAACATTATAGTTGTATTTTTTTTACCACAGCAGTTTTGGATGCAGACAGTTTTCCTTTTTTTCTAATCAGGAAAAATAATGGACTCTTTACTTTCAGCACATTTAAAAAGAGCTTCCAATTGCTGATCTGTAGAAGTATTACAAATGTACTTGAATGACTGATTTTTTTTTTTGTTTCATTTTCAGTGTCAGACACCGATGGCTGGGAAGTACCATGAAGTTAACTACAAAAGAGTTCAACTTCATCTTTGCCAGAGGTTGTCTCATCATAAATGTGGCTGGTGCTGAGTCACTCACTTCATTCATTAGCTCAATAAATAACTTGGCATTTTATGAGAAAGGTGATGCAGCATTGCAGTTGGCACTGGTGACCAAGGTACTGAAAGACTGGTGGGCCCCTAGGGGGTTTTTCCTGGCTCAGAATGGACTTTTGCGGGGGTGACTATGCATGACTCTAAGCATCATTAGTCCACTTACAGGA